CCCCCCCCCCCCCCGCTTTTCTTTTCTTTCTTTCTTTCCTTTCTTTTTCCCACCCAGTTCTAGGGATCAAACTCAGGATCTTATGCTTGCAAGGCAGGTGTGGCACTACTAAAGCTAAATCACCGGCCCTCTCTCTTATTGTTAATCTTTGTTTAGAAATGAAGGAAGGATCAGGCCTGTCTTCAGCTGAGAACTAGGCCCTGATTTGGATCTCAGCGTCATCACGTAGATGTTTTGATCCTTAGACTCCAAACCCTCGGAGGGCTCGAGTATCTATTAGGATGCCCGATTTCTCATATTAGAAGTAGGGACAGTCCACAGTGATCTCAATTGTCCCTTCCCCAAGCCTAATGCTCTCTCGTTTCCTTCCTGACTTCCTTGGTCTGTGCTGTTCCCATACAGGAAATGAACCCTGGTCAGCTGGCAGGGAAGGGGGATCTCTTTCGTTGATGTTCTGCCCTCTAGTGGTAGTGCTGTGTCCCTGAACACAAGGTAGAGGGCCTGGTGATAAAGTGATAAAGGCCCAGAGTCCAGTCCTTCCCTATTTTGTGTCCCTGACCATAAGGCCTTACATCCACCTACCTTCTCAGTGCTCCCGATGTCACAAGTGATCCCCTTCAGTACAAGATCCAGCTCATCCCGGTACCGTACTTGGTAGTTGCTAAAGTGGATCTCACCTTTGCTGGGCCAATCTGCCGGAGGCCTCTTATCAGAAATCCAGGGTGCCTAGCAGAAGACAGGATGAGAAGTGCTTTACATACAGTGGCAAATGAGCCAAGCAGCCCGCAAGTCATAAAACAGAAGAATAGTAGTGTCCCAGCTGGCTGACTGGCCCGGACTTGTTTTTCCAGAAGGTCCCTACCTTATTCAATTAAAGAAACCCTATCCCATAAGGTTGTTCTATGGATCTCCACAATGGTACATCTAACTAGGTACATTCTGAGACACGGCTTCCCCTAAATCATTTCATAAGATTGAAGAAATTAAGGTCTTTGAGTTAGGGTAAACTCTTAAAAAATATTATGAACTCATATGAGATATTATGAAATGATGAAGATGGACACTCAAAGGAGTTGCATGGGCCTTCTTCCTGTATTTCTCTAATTCCTCCTTACCTCATTTTTCACATTACTGTACTCATTTATTCGCTCAACAGCCACAATGTTGGTCTCTGTTTCTGATGTCATCCTCACTAGCCAATTCAGGGTTTGTGTGATCTATAGGGAAAAAAAAATAATAATAATACAGAAGACTGAAAATGATCTTAGGCTCCAAGATCAACTCAAATAGTCAAACTATAAGGTTATTCCAGTGCTTTCTTTGTACTAAGCACTGGGCTGGGCTCTACAAGAACATATAAAGTATAAAAGACAATCCTTGTTTCCCTGTGTCTGTGGGGGTTGGGGTGGGGTAAAGCCAATTCATCAAATGGCTGGAGAACAATTAAGTTCTCAACTTTGTGCTGTTCGCATGAAGGGCAAGATGAGCTTTGAGGGGTTTGGGAATAAAGGTGGGGTTGGAGAGGCTGGATATTTGAGTAGGACCAGAGTTCAGGTCTCCTGCCCATAAGTCCAGTGCTCTTTGTAGAAGGGGTTGTAGATGGTATTTTGCAAATGGGCAAGATCACACAAAGGGGGGGGGCAGGCCTTCCAAAAAACTGCCTTCTCTTTCTGTTCTTACTCAACCCAAGTCATTATCAAGAGACATCCATGTGGACCTTCACCTTCCTTTACACCAATAAACTCCATGTGCCTCGCTGATGTTACAAGAATATATCTAACTGCCAGTAAAAGGGTTATCATGATCTGGGCCAGTCTAGAGGCAGGGGATTACTCAGATGCAAGTTTCTTCCAGGCAAAAAATGAGGAGTCTGCACACATATGCCTGGAGATTTTGTGGGGTCAATGGTGGTTAGAATAAGAGAAGACAGGATCATGGGAACCAAGAGTAACTATTTTGTGGAGGTTGAACCATATGCACTTGCTGACATTGGTTTGATCTGATAGTTTCCTGATTCAACCTTGTCTGTCCTAGAGGGTGAAGGGACAGTGGCACAACAAACCAAGTGACTCTGGTGAATAACAGTCCTTCTGGGTATCCGGGTGCAATCATAGTGGGCCTCATTAACTTCTACTGAAGATAGAACCATATAGAGTACACAAATGAGTATGCAAACCTCTAAAACATTAGTTCAAAAGATACCACCAAGAAAGATGATCAAATGACTCACTTATTAAACACATTTATTGGACAGTTACGATCATGCCATCTACTGCACTGTAATATAAGAAGTAGTAATGTCTGGTCTTCATGCCCAGTCACTGTGTGGGTACAGCAGTGAGATAAAACTGACTAGCTTATTTAACTCTCTCCATTACAATGGGCTCCAATCGTTCTAGAATAAGAAAAACTCAGAAGGAATTATTTGTCCAAAATACATTCTGATTACTGATATATTTTTGGAGAAAATTTCCTATGTATTTATTCTGTTCTCTTGACTAGAATCAACCAAAGAGGCAAAGGGGCAGGCAAATATTAAATTTAAAGACATGAAATTGCCTTCTTAAGTCCCAACGACAACACTACTTATGCTCCTTTTTTTCTCCATATGATACTTGAGTGTACTTAGAAAGTGTAAGGAGTGTGTCTATGGGTAAAGATAGAGCCAGGGTTTGAACCTCAGTTTCTCCTAGTCCTTCTACCTAGAAGGAAAGCAAAAGTATGGACTACTAGTACATACTAGTGTACTCCAGGATTTAAGAATAAATACATTAATGGGCAGGGGATTTAGCTCAGTGGTTCCACCGCCTGCCTTGCAAGTGTAAGGATCTGAGTTTGATCCCCCATACTACACACACACACACACACACACACACACACACACACACACAGAGAGAATAAATACATTAACTTAGCCAAATTCCCAACCTCAGACTCACATTAAGGGCATTGGACAAAACAAAGCCCACAGTGTCCCCAGTTAAGGTGCTTTTATAAATAACCATCAGCAAGGAAGAACAGAAGACAACCAGGTTCCCAACAAACTCCAGGCGAATTGCAAGCCATCTGAAGGGGAACAGAACGAGAGAGAGGTGTCACTGACCTCTACTTTCTTACCTTAACCAGAAACTTTGGAGTTTACAGAACATTCTCAGAAGGTTTGAGTTGGTAGGGCTATGGTCTTTTTAAAAAAATAAATTTTATTGGTACACTTGTGATATCCATAATGATCACATTCATCATAGAGAATTTGTACCTGTACATAACATATCTTGATTTTCTCTTTTCCCTCCACTCCCTTCCTCTCCCTTCAACCCTTCTTTCCCTCCTTATTTACAAAAGTTCTGTTTTCATTTTTTTCCTTCTAGGTATTTTTCTTTCTTCTTCCTTCCCCTCCCTATGCCCCTCCGTGGTTCAATATCTATCATCAATTCTGGTCTTTATTTACCCTTTTAGCATCTCACAAAGGAGAAATAATGTGATATTTAAACATAGATATCTGATTTACTTCATTTATTATGCTTTTGTATGTTCTCAAAGTACATATCCATTTACCTAAAAATGTTTCAAGTCTATCCTTCTTTATGGCAGGGTAGTACTCCATTGTATATAAAAACCACATTTTCTTTGTCCATTCATTGTTGATGGGCATTTGGGCTGTTTCCAAGATTTGGTTATTACAAACTGTGCTGTTAAAAACTGTGTGCATATTTTGCTGTGGTATACTTTTAACTCTTTTGGGAAGATACCAAGAAGAAGAGGAATAGCTGGGTCAAATAGAATCTTTAGTTTTAGCTTTTTGAGAAATCTCCATACTGATTTCCATATTGATTGTACCAATTTACACTCCCACCAACAGTAGAAAAGGGTTCCTTTTTCCTCACATCACTGCCAGCATTTATTATTGGTTGATTTACTTATGATAGACATTCTTTCTGGAGTGAGATGGAATATCAGTATTTTAATTTGCATTTCTCAAATCACCAGTGATGTTGAACATTTTTTCATAATTTTTTTTTCTGTTTCTACTTCATCTGAGAAGTGTCTATTCATTTCAGATGCCCATTTGGATTGCATCAATTTTTTGAGATCTTTATATATTCTAGACATTAGTTCTTTGTCTGAGGAACAGCTGGCAAAATTTTTTTCCCACACTGTGGATTATCTCTTTATTCTGTTGGTGGTTTCTTTTGCTGTGCAAAAGGTTTTTTTTAATACAATGAGATCCAGTTGTTGATTTTTGTACTATTTCCTGTGTAATCAAGGTTTTGTTCACGAAATATTTGCCTATACCTTTCAAGAGTGGGCTACACTCAAAGAGATGCCTAATTAGACTTAGGAATATCTCAATGTATTCCAGAAGTCCATTAATATATTTCAAGAAATTAAATTTGTTTTCGTTTTTGTTTTTCTGAGACAGGGTCTCACATGTATTTGAAACCAGCCTTGAACTTGAACTTGCAGCGATTCTCCTGCCTCAGCCTCTTGAGTGGTGGAATTACAAGTATGTGCCACCATGCCTAGCTAAATTGCATTTTAAAGGTCTAGAGGACTTTTCTGAAGTAGGGGAATCCTACATTGCAGTATTCCAAAGTTGCCAAATTATAAGAATCACCTAGGAAAATTGTTATAAGTTTATGTAAAAAATTCCTGAAACTTTCTCCAGGAAATTCAGATTTAGGGGGCCTAAGATAAGTTTTAGGAGTCTGCATTTTAGGTGAATGCTAAAAGTGGTTTCTTTTGATCAGACTAAGAAAGAAATGCCCTATGCTTGTGCATGGCTAAAAAGAAAGCACTACAGAAAGGTTCAGTTATCTTGTCTGATCTCAATATTTTTAAAAGGAGAGGAGAAGCTGGGGGTGGAGGGAAAACAAGTGTGAGTTAATCTCAGGGAAATATACAGGAGGGTTGTAGAGAACTCAAGAGTAGAGGTGAAAAGATAGTTTTATATAAAAGACTGACTTTCCCAAGTAAAATATATTTAAATTTGCACTGATTCTAATATGTGTACAAATAAATATGACACAATACGTCCAATAGGATTTACTTACATGCCTATTTCCTGTCAAAAGTCTCTAAGAAATAAACTGGGTATGATAGAGCATGCCTATAATTGCAGCACTCAGGAGACTGAGGCCAAGGATCCCCCATGAGTTCAAGGCCAGCCTGGGCTATATAATAGTTCAAAGACAGAATAAACTATGTAGAGAGAACTTGTCTCAAAAAAACAAAACAAAAAGTCTCTAGGAAATTAAACATCTTTCTAATTAAATTCCCAATTTCTGAATGTCCCAGATCACACTGATCATCATCAGCCTGCCCTTACCACCTCAAGATACTTTGGAAGGTGCTCGCTTCGGCAGCACTTATACTAAAATTGGACCAATACAGAGAAGATTAGCGTGGCGCCTGTGCAAGGATGGTGGGCAAATTCAGAAAGCGGCCCATATTTTTTTAAAATACTTTTGGAAACCATTCAAGAATTTTCCTTTCCTGAAAAGACTTTTCTCCTTCAAGGACTTACCACTGCTTGCCAGAGTTTAAAGATGCTCACCCAAGTCAGGTATTCATCTCACAGGATATGAGTTGTCTGTTTGAGTCATTCTGCTCTTAGGGGCGCCTCAATTTGACTTAGTAATACCTAAATGTATTCCTAAAAGTTTATTAAATATTTTTCCTAAATACATTGTACTTTAAAAAATGTTTCCCTAAAAATTCCAAACTCTCCTTTCTTCAACTTCTGCTTTTTCTCCCTAAAAAGAATATCATGCCTGCCCAGGGATTTAGCTCAGTGTTTCCACCGCTTGCCTTGCAAGTGCAAGGTCCTGAGTTCAATCCCCCCTGCTCAGAGAATATTGTGCTTATGGAGAATCTTATAACCATTCTTCAGGTAGTAAATGGAAAACGTTCGATGGTACCTGGGTTACCAAATGCACACAAATGTACTTCCGCCATAACCCTGTAAGATAGATTGTGTCCTTTTCATTATAAAAGAAACTCATATTTTCCTTAGAGAGGTCAAGGCAATTCACCTAACTTGGTAACTGGCAGAGCTGACATAGGAAACCAGTCTCTTGACTCCAAACCCCATGGTCTCTTCTGTCTTACATACCATGAGAGTTGTGTGTGGCCAATGTGAAGTTGTGTGTGTGTGTGTGTATGTCTGTGTTTGCAGTACTAGGGATTGAACTCAGGACCTTGTGCTTGTGAGGCAGGCCAAGTGCCACTGAGCTAAATCCCTAGCCCAAGTGTGAGTTTCATACTATTGGCCATGCATGCAGAACCCCAAAGCATACATTTGGGTAAATATCCAAGGGAAGCCTCACCTGTTTGAGATAATCCAGGAAAAGACACATTTCTGGTTGGTGTCAATTGCCCTCTCATTGCACATTAGAAATCGCTGCTGGCTCTCAAAGGCACGGATAACAGGCAAACCTGTAACTGTCTCACTAAAGTGAGAGTAGATGGGGGATCTACTGACAGAGTCCAGACGTCTCAGCTGGCGGGAAGTAGCCACATAGAACACCTGAACACAAAAAGTAAGGTGTCAGGCATGCATCATGTCACATCCGCTTCTTCCGTAAGGGCCGTGACTCAGCGCTCCTCACTTGGGGGCCACAGCCCACATCTGAGCCAGACAGAAGCCTGCGGTGTCACCACTGGCTAGAAGAATAAGGAGCTAGGCCTAAAGAGGAGAAGAACGGCAAGACTGTGGTTGGTGGGGAACATAGCCATAGAGGTTTGAGTTTCTAATCCACAGGAGTTTTGTCAGTTGGGTCCACATTCTCCCTTGAAGTCTGCGTAGGTTGTCCAAATGATAGTTTCTGTACAGGTCAGAGAAATTGTCTTCAAAGGGATTTTATAAAGACTTCTCGGACCCAGGGGAGTGTAAAGTGGGTCTGGGACAAAATGGTCAGAAGAAGGAAGGCTGTGGTTTGGGTAAAAACTGAAGAACAAGTCAATTGTAACTACAACTTGTCTTGGCGGTGTGTGAAGGTGAAGGGAGCAATGGATAGGCGCAGGATGTTGAGTGTACAAGAAAGAACTGGATGTGATAGAATGTAGCCAGTAAGTCTGTGGCCGGAAAGGCAAGGTATGATGGGTGGGAGAGTGGTGCTACTGGATTCAGTGGATTTGTTCAAACCTGGGAAGAATTGGGCATTTGAGAATCACAATCATATCTGAAGTTTCCTCAAACAATCCTGCCTCTTATTTGTTGATTTGTTATGAACAGTCAAAAGTGTGTTATGGAGATGACAGTGTAGCCACAGAACAATACAACGGATGCTGTCTTACCACAGGCCACAGTGCCATATGACCCACACCTTAGGGTCCTCATAACTGTATCCCCTAGATATACAATTCATCATAAAGACAACTGGCAGGTCGAGGGCTCTCCTCCAAGCTTCACTCTCCTTATCAATTTCTTTCTTTTATTGAGTTTATTGGTACATTTTAGGGATACAGTACAGTTACATTCATTATTGGGATCTTGTACCTGTACATCACAGGTCTTGGTTCTCATTTCCTTATCAATTTTTATTGTGGGCATGAAGCCCTTCCTACTTTTTCTGTAAACCATGGTTCTTAAGTTACCAGATCCCTCCAAGAATATGTTGAAATTGAATCTAAATCATCCACAGTATTGGTACATTTTAGGGATACAGTACAGTTACATTCATTATTGGGATCTTGTACCTGTACATCACAGGTCTTGGTTCTCATTTCCTTATCAATTTTTATTGTGGGCATGAAGCCCTTCCTACTTTTTCTGTAAACCATGGTTCTTAAGTTACCAGATCCCTCCAAGAATATGTTGAAATTGAATCTAAATCATCCACAGGAATCCCAGCAAAACTAGAACTGCCTGAAGTGAAAAGAGATCTAGCTCCTGCTGAGAGATATCTCCAAGCAGATATACCTATTCAAAGCTGAAAGAGGAAGCACCTTCTAAAACGACCTAACCATTTTAGAGGTTCTTATGGAACTGAAAGACTTTGTCTAGAGCCAATCTCAAAGTAGCCTTGAATCCAAACATAAATCCAAGATAGGGTGAAGTGTGCCGTAAGCCATATACCTATGGATGTTAACAATTTAACTTGGGAAAGTCAGCAGTGGGCTCCTGGGCCAATCAATACATGACTAACTGGCAAAGATAGATGCTGGAGAAGCCAATACTGGGCTTTTACAAGCAGAGAGAAACAAACATCTAGCCATTTCCAAACCTACCTGGACAGACACATAAATAATGCCAAGAGGAATGATAATGATGGCAAATACAGGGGTAGCCATGCAGATCATGACAAGAATGCTCACTATCCCCAGGAAGCACATCAGCCAGCTGCGCAAGGTCTGAGGGAGGGATTCATCCACGGTGGAAATATCCTAGGAATATCATTAGGAGAGATAGTGAGCCAATGAATTACTTAGACATTTTACATCCTCCTGGTTATAGCCAGGAATCTGGTTGTTTCCAATGAATGTCATTTAATCTTTTAAAGATATTAATTTGCAATATATTGTACTGCATACTCAGATAACTACCCTAACTTCTGTAATTTCCTCATTCTTCAGTGTCCCTCTAAACAGATACAACAGTCATCCCTCACGTTTTACAACAGTTATAGGAAGGGTTTTCACTATTCTCACTCATCAAATTTATTAAACCATTCATAATTATTATAAGCTAATAGAGTCATGCTGGTAAATCCTTCTCCCATAACTGAGCCAGTTCAATTATTCTAACTCTACATAGGTCCTAACTCTATTGAGTACCTAGAATAGAGCCCACAACACAACAAACACTTAACAAATACTTGTTTGGAAGCTCCAGTCAACAAGCCTTTGTCACCTACCCTTAACCAAAGAACCACCTTACAGTGAGAAGTTGTTTCCTCTGCCAGGCACAGAACTTCAAGAGGAAAGGGAAGTGCAAAGGATTGTGATCCCTGGCTGGTCAGGGTTCTAATTAAGAAGCCCAAAGGTGGCAGATGGGTCTTAGTGCCTCACTGTCTTCCTGTCATGTGGATTAAATTAACAAACGAGAAAACTGATGGAGAATGAACGGTTTAGAACATATCCAGGAAGCCTGGCTTATATCTTGGTTTTCCCTACCTGAGCTTTCTTAGAGGGTTATACTGATTCTATGATTATCAATATGTAAGTATTAACATGAGTCCAAATTATCTCTGGAGTTTCCCAAAATGAGTCAAAGATAATTGTTTTCCAAGACAGCTCTGAATCAAGAATGACTCCTGAGTCTAGTGTCCAGGGTTGAGACGGGAGGAGGGTAAGGAGCAAAAAGAATAGAGAAAGAACAGGAGGAGGAAGAGGAGGAGGAAGAGGAGAAAGAACAAGAAGGGAAGAGAAAGAAAAGAAAGAGACAAGAGGAGAGAGACCCTCACCAGCTATTAGTTCTATGCAGATTATGTTTGATCCTTACCTAGCATACATTCTTCATCCTTATTTCCTCCATTTCTTCTCCTTTCTTTTCCCTTTGATTCACTTCCTTTCCCCCCACTTTTTTTCCTTTCCTTTCTTTCTGTAGTACTGGTTATTGCATTCAGCCCCTTCCCCTGAGCTATATCCCCAATTCTTTAGTGGGGGGAGGTTTTTTGAGACAGGGACTCGCTATGTAGTTCAGGCTGGCCTTGATCTCACTATATAGTCAGGTTGGGCTAGAACTCATGGTGCTTGTCCTGCCTCAGCCACCTGAGTGCCGTCATTATAGGCATGTGTCACCACACCCGGTAATCCCCAACTCTTTTTTACAAGGTCCCATAAAGTTTCTCAGGCTGACCTCAAACTTGTGATCCTCCTGGATCAGCCATCTGAGTAGCTGGGATGACGTGTGAGCGTCAATATTCTTTTGCTCTTTCTCCTCTTAAGGATTCAGCCACTGATTATAGAAAACTCTGTAACAAATTCACCTTTACATGTCTGAATCATCTACCCCCCCATGTACATATGATTAATGATAGTCTCCTTATTCATGCAAAAGCACTTGGAAAAGTATAACTGTAGCCTAACCAGCTCTATGCTCTCTTTTTCATAAGATTAATAAAAAAAATGACACGGAAAAGACCACACAATCTTTGTAAAATTCCTGTGGGAAATGTCTCCACCCAAAAGCTATTAAAAGGCAAAGAGCCAATTTAAGTAGTCTCCCTGATAATATGTCTTTTGTTTCTGCCCCAGAGGAAGATGACAATTGGGGACCAGTTAGTTACCTGCCCACTTTTTTAAGTGGTTGCTCTGTCCCCACATCCTGGCAGTGCGCTATGAGCTACTACATGTGTCTGCTTATGTGTGTGGACTAAAGATCTAAGAGTCCATGCTGCTCAAACACTTTAAAAAAAAAATACTCCCTCCCCAGGCAGAGTCCTAGAAACTGTGCCGATGGTACTTGAATATAGTTCAGAATTGCCTAGTCTCTGCTTCTGTTTCTGAAACTTCCATCTCAGAACCACTGAAAAGATAAATAAATGAATCAGGTCTCGCCCATGGAAGAGAGCCGACTATGTATGAGCTTTCCATTTATCGAGAGTCCAGTGCCTAGTGTAGTATTTGGCTCTTGAAATGTACTCAAAATGTTTTTGAGTGAATAGAAGAATGCCAGTGGCTCCAAGATTTAAAGTAGATTGAAACAATGTTTGAAACTCTCCTTAAAACTACAAAACTCTCATTCAATATCCAAACCTAATGCATTCATTCTTTTTTCCCCGGCTTTTGTTTTGTTTACTTGTACATGTTTGCGTTACACAGTGATTATTTTCCTCCCAGAGAACTGGTACACGCACATCTCAATTCTTTTATCATACCCTTTCCTTCCCCTTCCTCCATTTCTTGGCCCCTGTCTCATCTGAAAAAGATCTATCTTCCTGCTTCCTATTATCCAGCTTTTATGTTGCTCTTTGTTTATATTTTGGGTTTCTCATATAAGAGAAACCATGCAACATTTAAGCTTTTGTGTCTGATTCACTAATTTTTAAAGCATCAAAGAGAAGTTTCAGAAATGAAATCAGAGAGATCAAGCAAAGGATTACCCTACTATTCCTTTCATTTACTGGCACAGGCTATGTCAGTGCTTTTATTTAGGTCCCTTCCCACCCTGAAGAACAGCCTGGTCACCATGCTTCTGTTGCCCACCCCCTCCCTCAACAACTCCCACCATCTCCCTGCCTTACTTCTCTTATTGAACTTGTTTCACTTTTTCTGACATTCCCTAGCCTCAGTCATCCAGATTAAGTGAGTACCTCTCTTCTCTATCATTTCTTCGTACTTGCAGCACACCACTCTCCAAACTTCTTACCACATTCCCTCAAAATTCTTCATTTCTTTGGTTGTCTCCTTCACTAGACAGTAGCTGCTAAATGGCCAGAGCTATTCATCCCTAGATTCCTTGGGAAGTGCCTTAAAAAGGACCTAAAAAACAGGTGCATGCTGAATGGACAAGAAAACTGAAATTGTACAGAGTTGGCTGGTGGGAGGGAATGAGAATTCCTCCCTATAAGAAATAGAAAGATCACCACCATATAAACACACCACCATATCTTCCTTGAGATACTTACACCAGAAAACCTGTTCACAATCCGGCCTGTGGGCGTTGTATCAAAAAAACTCATAGGTGCGTGAAGGATGTTGATGAGCAGTTGCCCGTGCAAGGTTTTTGATGCATGGTTGCAGCTGTACACACTCAAGAGACTTGCTATAACCACAAATATGGCTGGAAATAGGAAATAGTTTTATCAGCTCCATGTACAAGAATCCTGAAAATCTGTGCCCAGGATAAAATAACAAATGTTCTCCTGAGTCCCAGAAAAGTACAAGGTCCAGAGTTCTGTAAAAGATGGTTCTCATAACCTTTACGAATACCTACCTTGTGCTACTCCCAGACTTCCATAGACCCCAATTCTCATGTCTCTCTGAGAGGCTGGATAGTTGGTGCTGTTGAAAGTGTTAGAGTCCCTGGTCCAAGCACTGAGCCAAAGATTGGATCCAATAAAAGCCACAGAATTCATCATGTAGAAAAAGACAATGAAGGCTATTGAATGCCATCTCATTGCTTGTAGGTATTTCATGTAGTTGCCAATCTTCACCTGCAAAGACCGCATTGATATTAGTAGAACACTTTAATGGCTTTTGGTGAGGAATCACCTAGAAGACCAATCACAAGGAGGAGTGGAGTCCCCTGGAAATGTGGATAGTAGCAAAATCTGGTGATCTGTGGTCATATTTCTGAACTGGGCCAAGATAATAGATCAATGGTGAAACATAATGCAGAGTAGCAATCAAGTTATTCAAAGAATCTGAAGATAATTAAGATGGGAAGGTATCAAAACAGAGCAGGATGTGGAGATTTATTGCAGACCTTGGCCTTTGTGGCTTGAATTAATTTGAATTATATGCTCTAGGTCTTATATATTAGTGTTTCTTTGCTTATAGAATTGCATCTCAAAGCAGTTTTGCTATTCTCTATACATTAGATTTGCTTGTTGTTGTTTTAGTACTGGGGATCAAACTTGGGTCCTTGTGCTTGTGAAGCAGGCACTGGAACCACTGAGCTAAATCCCCAGCCCTGTTCTCTAAACATTAAAGTGGAATTAAATACTCATGAAGGATGGGATCAAGATATTTACAGAAAACATGTCATTTATCATAGAAATATGATTTGATAGAAAGCCTACTGCCTCATTTATAACTTTAATAAAGAATCTGAAGATTCATAACAAATAGAACATGTTGCTCTTACGTATTCAAGTTTCAATTAGTTTTATTTTACTTTATTTTTTGGTACCAGGAATTGAACTTATGATCTTGTTCTTGCAAGGCAGGCATAGTGCTGCTGAGCTAAACCCCTGGACCGCAACCAATTTTAAAATTTCATATTCTAAGCTATCTATCATCTCAAATGATACTTTTTGTATGGCGTTCACCTTTCCCCTTTCCATGAATTCCTTCTTAATTAGTTTTTGTCCTTTCACTGATTCTTCTTCCTCCTTTAGGGCATTCTGAGTTCCAAAGGAGTTTTTCAAGGGCTTCAGATGCCGGCTGCTGGACCTAGAGCAGAGAAGCAGAAAGGGAGAAACGTTCCTAAAAATCTCGATGCTTCCTAGGGTTATCTTGCAAGACGATATTACAATCACTGTTGGATCAAAGCATACACCAAAGGAGATGACCATGGGAAACTGACACAGTCCTAACACATCCTCCTGCCTATGCAGGAGGCAAAGGCAGAACTACCAATGTCCACGGGCGTCTGCCATCTTAGGAAACACCCACAGAGAAAAAGAGAATGGTCAAGCGGAAATGTGGAAGGGTTGAAGACTGCCAGCTAAATAAACAGCCCACCTGCGGCTCATAGTTCGATGAAGACTGTTCTCTCTTTTCATGGACAAGGAGACTGCATCCTCAGGGAATTCCTCTATGCTGGATATCAGTCCACTGTCATCATCTTCTTCATCACCATCATTGACTAGGCAGATACACAGAGGTTAGAAAAACAGCACTGAGTGTAGTCCTATGAACAAGAAGGAAAAAGCCTTCTCTAATTTGGTTGGTTTCAGCAATGGATTCCAGATGTAGGCCAGAAGACTGAATCCCATAAATACCAATTATTAGCACTCATGCTACTCTCTTTCATTCCCTTCTATTTATTTGCAGAACTGCAGATTGAATGCAGGGCCTTGTGTATGCTAGGAAAGTACCCTACTACTGAACTACATCCATCCCTAGCCCTTTCAGTATACAGTATACATTCTTATTCAGAAACGCCATGATAAGGAGATGTGTTAATGTTCCATCTGAAGAGAAAAATGATCCGAAAAAGAAAACAGTTTCTAGAATTATAAGTTCCTTTGAAGCAGGAAAGAAATGTTAAACTTTATAGTAGACAAACAGAAGTCTCCATTCCAAGAATTGACTAAAGATATGATTGTAAACTGAAAATCTTCACCCTAAAATTCACATAATTTAACGAACTTTTATTAATCGAGAGTACTTAAAAAGCCACCCTAAAAATAAAATAAATGTAAAACAGTGGGATAATCAGTGTAAATGGTAGAATAAGGATCTCCAGAAATCTGCTCCTCTGAAAAGATGATGTAAATACTGACCACAAAAAAGGAAAAAGTCAAAATTAATTTTTTTAGAACTCTGAAATCAACCAAAGGATTGTAACAATCCAAAGGGTCACCTGACATGGTAATGTTGAGGCTCTAACCTCACAGTCAAAATATTCATCTAACTTTTTTTTCTCTCATTGAGTTTATTGGTACATTTTAGGTATACAGTACAGTTACATTCATCATTGCGATCTTGTACCTTTACATGACAGATCTTGGTTCTCATTTTTTCCCCTTGTCCCTGCACTCACTTCACCCCCTCCTCCTTTCCCTATTTACAAATATTTTATTTCCATTTTTTCATTTTCTCATGTTTTTCCTTTTCCCTTATTATCTTTCCCCTACCCTTCCCACTTCCCCTGTACCTTTAGCCCTTTTATTCCTATTTCACATTGTCCATTATATTATGAGGATCTTATGTACCATTATAGTTTTTCACACCAGAGAAACTATTTGGTATCTATACATATGTGACTTATTTATTGCATTTAGGAGTATATCCTCAATATGTATTCATTTTCCTATGAATGAATCTAATTTCTCATTCTTCGTGGCTGACTAGTATTCCATTTTATAGAAAAACCACACCTTCTTTATCCAGTCTCCAACTGATGGGCAAATGGGCTGTTTCCAAGTTTCAGCTATTACAAACTGTGCAGCTATAAACATGGGTGTGCATATATCACTGTGATATGGTTCTTTTAATTCTTTTGGAAAGATACCCAATGGAGATGGATGACTGGGTCAAATGGAACCTCTAGTCCCAGCTCTTTGAGTTATCTTCATATTGATTTCCAAATATAAAAACCCAATTCAAAAATGGACATCTGAAATGCACAGACATTTCTCAGATAAACAAGTAAAAGCATCAAGTAAATATATGAAAAAATGTTCCACATCACTGGTCATTCCAGAGATGCAGATGAAAACAATACTGAGATTCCACCTCACCCCACAAAACATGGCTGCTATCAAGAAATCAACCAATAACAAATGTTGGCAGGGTTGTGGGGAGAAAGGAACCCTTTTCCATTGTTAATGGGAAGGTTATTGATTTTTGAGTGTTGACCTTGTATCCAGCTACTCTGCTAAAAATGTCAATTAAGTCTAGAAGTCTTTTGGTGGAATTTTTGGGTCTTCAATGTAGAGTATCATATTATCAGCAAATAGTGACAGTTTAACTTCTTCCTTTCCTATCTTTATTGCTTTAATTTCTTTCTCTTGTCTAATTGCTGTGGCTAATGTTTCCAGAACTATATTGAAGAGGAGTGGTGATAGTGGGCATTCTTGTCTTGTTCCTGATTTTATCTTGAAGGTTTTCAGTTGTGGGCCATTTAATATGATGTTGGTTGTTGGTTTTTCATAGATAGCCTTTATTAAGTTGAGATAAAGACCATCTATTGCAATTTTTTGCAGGGTTTTTTTCATGAACAGGTGTTGAATTTTGTCAAATGCTTTTTCTGCATTTATCAAGAGGATCATATGGTTTTTGTCCTTGACTCTGTTAATATAGTGTATTACATTTATTGGCTTATGTATGTTGAACTATCCTTACATCCCTGGAATAAATCCAACTTGGTCAGGATGTATGATCTTCTTGAGAATCCTCTGTATTCTGTTTGCTAGTGTCTTATTAAGGGTTTTTGCATCTATATGCATTAAGAAGGTTGGCCTGTAGTTCTCTTTTTTAATTGAGCCTTTCCCTGGTTTGGGAATCAAAGTGATACTTGCTCCTAGGAATGAATTTGGAAGTAAAGTATTGCTTCCTTTTCAATTTCATTGAAAAGTTTAAAGAGCAGGGCAGTAGTTCTTCTTTAAGTGTCTTTTAAAATTCAGCAGTGAATCCACCAGGATCAGGGCTTTTCTTTGTTGGTAAGGTTTTAATTACATTTTCAATTTCACTCATTGTAATTGGGGTGTTTAAAAGTTTTTATCTTCTTCGTTCAACTTTGGTAATTCATATGTATCTAGATATTTGTCAATTTCTTCTGTGTTTTCCATTTTATTAGAGTACAGGTTCTCTAGGTAGGTATTGATGATCCTCTGTATTTCTTTCTGTTGGATCTGTTGTGACTTCACCGTTTTCATTCCTATTGCATGGATATGAGCCTTTTCTTTCTTTCTTTCTTTTTTTTTTGATAAGGTTAGCTAGGGTTTATTGATTTTATTTATTCTTTCAAAAAACCAATTCTTTGATTCATTTATTTTTTGTATCATTTTCTTAATTTCCAATTCATTGATTTCTGCTCCAATCTTTATAATTTCCTCTCTTGTATGAGCTTTGGGTTTTTCTTGCTCTTCTTTTCCTAAGAGTTTAAGATTCATCATTAGGTTATTTATTTGAGATCATGCTGTTTTCCTAGTGTGGAAATGCTATGAATTTTCCATGTAGAACTGCTTCCATTGTGTCCCATAGATTCCTGTATGTTGTATTGGTATTATCATTTATTTATAAAAACTATCTAATTTCTTCTTTAATTTCCTCTGTGACCCGTCGATTGTTCAGGAGAGTGTTGTTCAATTTCCATGTGTTTGTAAAGTTCCTACGGTTTCTTGTGCTATTGATCCCCAGCTTGATTGCATGATGATCTGATAATATACAGGGGATAAATTTGATTCCTTTGCATTTATTCATATCTGTTGTATGAGCTAGTTTGTGGTCTATCTTGGACCACAATGACCCATGTGCAGCCAAAAAGAATGTATATTCTGATTTTGTGGAGTGGAAGACTCTATAAATGTCTATTAAATCCATATGTTCAAAAGCTTGGTTCAGTTCATTGTTGATTTTTTGCCTAGATGATCTATTTGTGATAATGGGGTATTTAGATCCCCCACTACAATTGTATTAGTGCTTATTTGGTTTTTCATGTTACTTAATATTTGTTTTATATGGTTGGGGCATTAATATTTGGTGCATATATGTTTATGATTATCATCTCTTCCTCTTGAATTGTTCTCTTTACAAGGATGTAGTGACTTTCTTTGTCTCTCTTAATCAGTTTTGGTTTGAAATTTACTTTGTCTGCAAATAAGATAGCTACCCCTGCTTTTTTCTGGGCTTCTGTTGCATGGAGAACTGTTTTCCATCCTTTTACTTTCAGTCTATGGGCTTCTTTTTGCACTAGGTGTGTTTCTTGTATACAACATATTGTTGGATTTTGCTTCTTAATTCATTCTGCCAGTCTATTTCTCTTGATTGGTGAATTGAGGCCATTGACATTGATGGTTATAACTGGATATGTACTGACTTATTATTGTCATGTTATTGTCCTTTTGTTGACTCTTTTTGATTTTTCTCCCTTTCCTTTTAGTTTCTTGGCTTGCCTATTTGATTTGCTCTGTTGGGCCTCATGGTGTTGTGACCTTCATTGTCTTTCTCTAGGATATTGTTTAGAATTCCTTGTCATGCTGGTTTGATATTCATGAAGTTTCTCAGTTGTTCTTTGTCATGGAAGTATCTTATTTCCCATCCATTCTGAAAGGGAGTTTGGCAGGATACATTAGTGTAGGTTGGAGGTTGTTTTCTTTTAGGACTTGAAATACCTCACTCCAGGCTCTGCTTGACCTGAGGGTTTGTGTTGAAAAGTCTGCTGCAATTCTAATGGGCTTTCCTTTACATATGATTTGTTTCTTTTCTCTTACTGTTTATAGTACTTTGTTCTTCTGTTGGGTTTCTGGGATCTTGATTACTATATATCTAGGTGTAAATTTATTTTTATCATAGCTAGTTGGAGTCCTATATGCCTCACTTATCTGTACGTCAAATTTTTCCCCTCTGCTGTGGAAATTTTCTGTCATTAATTCTGTGAACAGCTTTTTAAAATCATTTGTATTTTCTCTTGCTACTTCATGGATTCCTATCAGTCTTATGGTATTCTTCTTTGAATAATCTAGGAGTTGTTGGATCAATTTCTCATGTTCCCTTACTGTTTTTAAGAGACCTCTCTTTTCACCATCACTGACTGCAATTCTATCTTCTATATCTGAAATTCTATCTTCACATTCTTTTGTCCTGCTACAAAAGCTTTCAATAGAGTTTTAAATCTCCTGGATATCTGTTTGAGTCTGTTTCATGGGTTCCATTTCTTTCCTATGTTGGGTATTCATTGTTTCCATTTCTTTCTTTTTTTTTTCATCTTTAATTGGGTTTATTGGTACATTTTAGGGATATAGTACAGTTACATTCATTGTTGGGATCTTGTACCTCTACATGACAAGTCTTGATTCTCATTTTTTCCCCTTACCCCTGCCCTCCCTTCCATTTCTTTCTTATGCTGGGCCTTCATGGCTTCTATCATAGTCCTGAACGCATCTGTTTTTTTATCAGTTTCTGTTCTAGAGTCTCTAATCATGACTTTTATTTTGCTCACCATCTCTGTAGTTATCTGGGAAATTATTTCTGCTTTGAATTTTTCTAAAGCCTGATTGCTCTGTATTTGTGCTCTATAGTGTTACTTTCTGTGCTATGAGTTCAGGGTGTCCTGGTGGTTCACTGTCAGACTTTTCAACCTCATTTGCCCTTTTTTGCCATTGGTGAACTAGAAGTCTGTCTTTGTGTCTTGTTTAAGTGTTTTCTCATTTCTCTTTTTGTTGTTGGGTCTTCCTTGGTTTAATTTCTGGGTTATTACTTAAATCTTCCCAATATAGTTGCACTTTAGCTGTGCTATGAGTTCAGGGTGTCCTGGTGGTTCACTGTCAGACTTTTCAACCTCATTTGCCCTTTTTTGCCATTGGTGAACTAGAAGTCTGTCTTTGTGTCTTGTTTAAGTGTTTTCTCATTTCTCTTTTTGTTGTTGGGTCTTCCTTGGTTTAATTTCTGGGTTATTACTTAAATCTTCCCAATATAGTTGCACTTTAGCTTTTGAGTCTCTAATGACTCATAGACATTCTCATTTTCATAATATTAGAGAAGACAACTCATTAAATCAACCACAACCCTTTAGCCCAATTGATACAGTCAGCAACACAATAGGATCAAGCACAACTTACAAATTGACCACTTGTGGTAGTCATTAATCTATCACTTTTAAACCATGTGAATTAAATTAAAATCAATAAGCAGCCCAAAATATATTTGCAGTGAATAAATTCTTCAATATAGCATCTTTACCATTTAGGATGGGGGCTTAGACAGTTAGGATGAGAGGAGTAGGTAAGTAAAAGAATTGGAGAAGGTTTCAAGTGAAGCCAGAGGACATAGGATGACCATACAATCTTTAGGAAACTGTTAAAGTCAAAAGGGAAAGACAGAGTGCAAGAATAAGGACAAGAATATAACAACAGTAATAGGGGCTCACTTTCCTTTGAAACTATTGACTCTTGAGTGAAGGAAAATGAAAGAAGAAAAGATTAAGAAAAAAGAAAAAATGATAAAAAGAAATCAAGTTAGGGCAGGGATAGGAACAGAAAGAGAGATGAGGAATAATATGGGGGAGCAAGAGACTGAGTTGGAAGAAAAGGAAAGGAAAAAGAAAGAATTTGCAGAGTGGAATGAGGAAAAGAAAGAAGAAAAAGAATTTGAAGGCTATATCTCTGCTGTCATGATAGACAATGTGCACAGCCATGTGCAGAACTAAGTCGTTTGATCTCAGCCAGTCGATGGCAGATCCCTGAGATTCAGGGTGATTTCGGGCCACAAGGCCCAAATTGAGCTCCCTGACCTCCTGCAGGGTTAAACTCTGCAAAGTTCTACTACAGGTTCTCTCTGCCCTTTCTTTGAAGATATTCAAAGTATGGATCTCAAAAAATGCCCTTTCTGACCACCTGTGCCTCTGCAGAGTGGATCCAAGGACTGGCACAATCAGGAGGCCTGAGAGCTGGGAGTGGGGGCGTTGCAGGGGCTCCTAAGCGGCAAACTAGTCCTCACTGATTGGCCCCAGGCAGGCCGGAGTGAGAAGGGGCTCCAAGCAGCTATCCCAGACCTCCACCTTCCACCTTCCTGCATCTACCTTTTAGGCTCTGTTGATGCTCTCTCACCTGATTACTGAATATAACTCTAGAGTTTGCTTTCTGGGTCCTGACCTGTTGGTGGTCACTATGTGAAGCTGATAACCAGGACTATGCCCAAGACTACTAATGGCAGATCCCGAGGAAGACTCACAATAAATGGCTCCACTACTACCTGGAGTTATTCAGTGAACCCAATGGTGACAATAGTAGGGGCTATTCCTATGGTATACTGTGACACTATGCAGCTGTCATGATGTTTTCTGGTTTATGCATCCAGGAGTTTTGTTGTTGTTAAAGCTTATCAAGAATTTAGTAAAAAAAAAAAAAAAGAATTTAGTAGTAGACTATTAGTACTAATGCAGTCATTACATAGTCAGGGACCACATTGGAGATTGGGAACAGGCAAAATCCTGGGTCCTTAACCCACTACTCTTTGAAAGCATGATGTTTGTTTTCTCCTGGGATAGTCAGAGACTTAAAAACCACTTTTGCTATAAACAATGACTCTTCCCTTGGGCCTACAGATAAATGGATAACTAAAAGCAAAACAAAGCTTGATTATTTTATATCCTTTGTTACCTTAAAACTTTGGGTCAAGCTCCTTTTCAGCTTTTCATATAGATGTGTTAATCATTTGGTGAGTAACTGTCTAGGAGTTGGCAACACAAGGTTGATTAGCCCTGAATTTACATGATCTCATCCCTTCAAGGTTAAGGACACCAGGGTGGGGGATTTCCAGGGATATTCAACTATGTCTCTAGCCATTGTTTTTGTTTTTTGGATTTTTGTTTTTTGTTTTCAGTATCAGGGATTAAACTCAGGACCTTGCACTTGTAAGGCAGGCATGACGCCACTGAGCTAAATCCCCAGCCCTCTAGCTATTGTTTTGAACCTGTGATCACCTGGATCTCAGGAAAGGTGGAATCCCACTTGAGTCTATCCCTCAGCCAAAAAGATTCTAGAACTATCACACCAGAACTGAGAAAATCAACCAAATTCCAGCCCACCAGTTAATCCTTAAAGTTAGCTTGCTACCTTTGTGGGTGGATCAATCTGAACCCCTGTGAGTGTGCCCTTTCCAGCCACTTTAGCTAGCATCTTCCAGTCTTCCCTCTAAGTTTCCAATTAAAGCTTTTCTGAATTGCAGATCATACTTTAGTTTTAATTTCCATTATTATTAAAAGTGAGGATCTAAGCAAACTGGTGACAATACTAGCCAGAAGTTGGTTTCAATGAGTTTTCAGTCCAGGAACTAGTTTCAGTGGGTTTGCAGTAGTTGGAGTGGCATGTAAGATTTGAATCAACAGGAGCTGGGCATCCACTAGTGTTCTTTCCACAAGGGTTACTCACCCAAATTTTAGGGGGTACCTTTCTAAAGGATGTCCTTTGATTGAGTGTCAGAGACAGATGAGCAGGGTAAACCACCAGTTTGGTCCAGGCTTACAAACACAGTTTGTTTCTTTACTCAGAGCACAGAGGAGTAGAGCTTGAAACCTTGGGTAATTTACTTTCAAATCTAGTTCACTGGATATTAAACAGATCGATATTGGTCTATCATTCCCACCCAGACCCCAAAGTCTATACTTGTTCCAATCCTCTTTACATACCTGTGGCCTCCCCTTCAGAATCTGAATGTCTCGTGAATGTCTTCAGATTCTTAGCAAATACTCCTTGTTTGGCCAGCAGAGCACTGTAGGATCCTTTCTCCAAGATAGTGCCATTCTTCAGAACCACAATCTCATCCACTTGGGGAAGAAAGTGGATGCTGTGTGTAACCAACAGTCGAGTCTGTAAAAAATAACATTAAGTTGTGCTGTCTGCCTGTCTGTGTCCACCCTCTTCCTTGCATTACTCTCTCCCTCCCTCCCTCCCTCTCTCTCTCTCTCTCTGGTAGTGGGGATTGAACTCAGGACCTTGTGATTGAGGCAGGCATGATGCTACTAAGCGAAATCCCAGGCCCTTCCCTGCATTACTCTTAAAAGGGAAAAACAAATATGTCAATTCATACTAAGGCTTTGCTTCAAAATGTAGTTTTGATAATTTGGCCTATTTTACATACTCTGATTCTATGTGAAATGAGACTTTGAACATCATGGGCCTACTCATAGTTGTTTTCCTACAGTGAAAATAAGCTTTACCCTAAATACATTCTCTTCCATGTCCTGGAATAGCAAAAGATTGAATTTAGGAAAGTCACCAGTGCCCATTATTATAATTGGTGCATACAAAGCTAATTAGCTAAAAAACTAATTGCCCCTTATGAGTCTTTCATTTGCTGGCTAACCAACCCTACCAAAAAGCATTTTTTCAGTGTGTTAGAGAAACTGTGAACAAGAATCATTCATCCAGGTCCTTGTTGGTATCAGAGATTGGTCATCCCTAGTATTCTTCAACTGACTGCTGAGACAGGAGCTCTACTCAAGCCAGAAAGACAAACACTTATAGGTAAGCAAGGAGGCTGCATTAGGAGTTATGAAGTTGTGATGAGTTTCTGGAGAGATAAGCTAAACCCAATACCTTTGTTCTGTTTTTCACAACCCAACAGAGACTAGACCCTTCTTATCTGGAATATACAGGATGTTCTCATCCCTTAATTCCCAGTTCAAAGCCTGCTCTTCTGGTGCCTTTCTTGAATCTTCTAGCAAGACTGGGATATTCCTCCAATGTTTTCACTATAGTTTATGCAGATTACAATGAAAATAACTCATGTGTTGTAATATTCTGGATTGCTTTTCTATATGTCTTTCCATTAAATTGTGACTAAATGAGATCAAAGACCAGGCCTTTCCATCTATCCATGCGATGAACCTGGCACAAGGTGAGTATTCAGCTAGAAAATGAATGCAACTAAGAAGGTATTAAGGACAGAATTTGGGGTCAGAAATAGGAGAGAGAGTGAGTTCCTGCTGATCCACTGATTCAAAAGAGAGCCAAAGGAACAGTGGAATAGCAGCCCAGATCACATCAACCTTAACTAGCAGCATTCAAGAGTCTTGATGGCAACAGGCCAAATATTGTTAGAATCTCCCTGCCCAGTGCCAAGGAAAATTATGTTATCAACAGAGGGTCTGTGTCAGCCACTCTTGAAATTTGGCATACTATGTCAGGATAATCATGCCAATTTGCCCACTGTAACACAAGTATGGTCTCTGCCTACAACTAGCTCTTGTGATTTTCACTGCCCACTTCACCTGTTCTGTCTGATAAAGGTATTGTGAGAATCAAATGAAAAAACAGTGAAAATGTTTAATACAGGTCTGGGATATGAGTGAATATCTAATAAATAACTATTAGACATTATTTTGTGTTCAGGTTAGTCATCCTTTTCAGGCACAGTGTTCTCACATCCTGCAAACATTCCCAGGAAAGTGACCTCTTAGAGCATAAGGACAATACCTCATAATACCTGAAGGATGTATTACCACAAGCAAGTGAATTATTGGGTCCTATGGGATGCTCCTGACACCAGTTGGGTGTCTAACAATTCAATGCAGTTCTGACACTAACTAACTGAAATTAGCACAGACCCCTAGTTTCCAGGCCTACAAAATTGTTCCCCATTTCAGACGTCAGTAGATAGTCTCAGGCTCCTCATAATTCTGACAACTGGCCATGAACTAGAATCCCTCTTAAGGTCCCATAATTTTCTAGAAAGCTTTGGGCTACTTTACTTATTGAATCAGCTTATGATGAAGGCTATAGCTCAGAAACAGCCAAAAGAAAAGCAAGCTATGGAGGAGGGTTGCAGAGCTTTCATGCTGTTACTTTGCACTAGGCTCCTTGCACCTTGATGTGTTCACCAACCTGGAAACTCTCCAAATCTCATTGTTCAAGAGTTTTTATAACCTTGTCTTATCACCACTTCCTACCTGGAGGTTAGTGGGTAGGGGTGAAAGTTCCAAACTTTTAACTACTTGTCAGGAATTTTGTGCCAGGAAATGGGGAGAAAGACTAAATATATTTCTTATTATAACCCTAGGTCAATAAATATTTTTATCAAAATCATTCTAAGAGGTTCAACATAAAAGCCGCAGAATGAGACTGAAATTAGTCAGTTCTAATATAAACCACAACTTCATGACGGAAATCTTCATTGGGTAGGCTCCACAGAGATCAGTCTGATACTATATGTCCTCAGAGGCTCAGAGAGCAAAGTAAATAAGAAAATCTGCTTCATAACACTATGATTCCCATCTTCTCAGCCACATATCTTCACTCTGAATGCTTTCTCACCTTGCTGTTTAATAGGCCGTTGGGGCCCAAGACCTTATTGAAAATATGCTTTCCTACATGAGCGTCCACAGCTGACAGAGGGTCGTCCAGAACATAGATGTCTAAATCTTGATAGGCAGCTCTCGCCAGGCTGATTCGCTGCTTCTGGCCACCACTGAGATTTATACCCTGAAGAAGAAAATAATTTCTACTGAGTACCATTCCCCAATTCCACTTTATAGAATCTAATAGGGTGGAGTAAAAGGAAGAAATCTGCCTCGGTCAAGTATCAAGGGCTTAAAAACATTACAAGTTTCTGTATAAAAATAAGTAAGTTTCATTGAAATAAATAACCTTAAACCCAATGATCAAAGGCAAGCCCAAGGTAACATTTTCTATCATATAATGTACTTATTTAATATTTTCATTGTTTGCTGCCAGGGTAGAGGTTTTCTGTATTTGGTTTATGGATATTATCCTAGCAGATGTTCGATGAATACATCCTGAATTAATGGAAAAACTCATTTCAGACCTATGTCTGCACTTGTCTAGCATCTGAAAAAATCACTGTCCTGCAAATGATTATTATATTAGTTCTTATAAATGGGAAGGAAGACTGAAAACATTCTAACTGTGAAGTAAATTATGTTATATCCATTCAATAGTTGCAGTATCATTAAAATCTGTTTTTACAAGAAGCATTTAATAACATAGATAAACCTTGGGCCAGTCACTATTAACACAGATGCAATAGATGACATAGTTTTTCATTAGATTTGATTTAGATCAATAATTTCTGGTTTTGCTTCTAGGCATCAAGTTTAAAAATTCAGAGTTATTTGCATAAAATATTGTGAGCAGTTAGAGCATATGCATGTTTTTTTTACTCCCATGTATTTCTTCCATCACTTTTTTTTTTTTTTGGTGCCAGGGATCGAACTCAGGACCTTGCACTTGCTGGGCAGGCAGAGAACCACTGAGCTAAATCCCCGGCCCCTTCTATCACTTTCTTTCTTCAATATTTCTTCACCCCTCAAGGACCCTACCTTCTCTCCAATTTCAGCCAGGTCTCCTCCAGGTAATACTTCCAAGTCTGAGAGGAGAGCACAGGCCTCCAGAACTTGCTGATACCTTTTTTCATTAAACTCTGATCCAAAAAGGATGTTTTCTTTTATGGTGCCATTCTGAATCCAGGACTGCTGAGGGACATAAGCCGTAGTACCCTACATGGGAAAGGATCAGACCATATGAAAGCTGTACTGCCAGAAATGCAGGGTTGAAGGATGAGGTGGCAGGAGCAAGGAGAAAATACCGAGCTTAGATTCAAAGAACTATGTGACAGGCTGCCTAAATATTTGATATTTATTAATGTGCTTGCATGGTATGGCTCGAGAAGAAAGATTCAATATCCTGTTCATCATTTAATATTCCCATTAAACTATCAATTTCTTGACATGATCCTGAAGAATCAGAAAATAAATGCACATGCTTCTTCTAGATAATGGTTTTAGTCAGACCCAGTGAATTTCCTAGGACTGATGTAGTGCCAACACTTTAAGGAAATGGAATAGATGACACTTTAGGAAACAAAAAACTAAAGAGTTCAAGGTGGTACATAGAGGAGATTATTTTCAAAGTGACATAGAGACTGACAAATGCCTATATTTGAGAAAGAACTCAGTTATGATTTGACAATAGAAAGCTTCTCAAAAGGACTTAGGAAACAAATCTATAGTCTTCTCTGCTATAGTGCATGATTTCTTTAAAATGCAAATTAACTCATTAGGAGTTGGCAAATAATGATGTTAGTATATTGTGGAAGAAAACATGTTCTTATAATTTTTCCAAGTAGATCAATATAAAGGAACAGGGCTGGGGATTTAGCTCAGTGGTTCCACTGTCTGTCTCACAAACAGAAGGACCCAAGTTTGATCCCCAAAAAAAAAAAAAAAAAAAAGTAGTACAAGAAAACTTTAACAATATATGAAGACCTTGAGAAAAAAAGCTGAAAATGTAGACTTGCTTCTCTTTGGTGTAAGTAGCAGCTGCTTTAATTATTCAAAAATACCTATAATCTCTAAATTCAGCTTTCTGGGGAAGTTCAGAATGTCCATGAAGGCACCTTGAAAACATTTCCCTTATGTTAAAAAAATCATGATTGATGAGGAAGTCAACACCCCATGCCAGGTTTTTGTATTGGAAACAAATGCCTTTAAAGATCTAGCTTGCAAAAAAGGATCCCACGCTAATTGTAATATTGGGTAGAAACGCCAGTGTTGATTTTACAAAGCTACTTTTTTTTCTATTCCGTACTATTGGTACTGTTTTTGTTGGTTATTTAATGTGTGTGTGTGTGTGTTCATGGGGGATTGAACACAAGGCCTTTGTACAGAGCTACATCCCTAACCTTTTTTAGTTTTTATTTTGAGACAGGAACTTGCTAAGTCACTAAGCTGCGCAGATTAGGCTCAAACTTCAGGTCCTCCTGCCTTGGCTTCCCAGAGTGCTAGGAGTACCGGTGTGTATCAGCATGCCTGGCATTCAGTTTTTAGTCATCTGTTAACAACACTTTTCCTGCTAGGTTCTATTATTTTTATTGCACAATTTTGCAGAATTTGAGATTTTCAGAAATACATAAATGCAGCAGAAATGCCTAGACTTTGAAGGAAGACATCTCTTGTCAATAGCTGTCACACTTCAGTATACACATGAGAATCAGCTGGAGAGCTCATAAAAAATACATATTCTTAGACTCTCCCCAGAGACCCTGGGATGGTGCAGAGAATCTACAGTTTACAAATCTATCAGATGTCACCAAGGCCTCATCTCCCAAATGAGAAAATGACAGAGTGGCCCACATTTGAGGGTCAGAAGTCACTGGCATTCCCTCTTACCTTGATGGTGATATGCCCATGGACATTTTCCATTTCTCCCAGCATAGCTGACAGCAAGGAAGATTTCCCGCAGCCCACATTACCCACCACAGCCACCAGCTGCCCTGGCATTATGTCCAGGTTCACACTGAAAGAGATAAAAGTTTTTGAAGATTTTTGGGGGGGCATAAAGATGGATATTTAAAAGTAGTTCTTTACTCTTAAGTGAAATAAATAGGACACATATGTTTAAATGCTGCATTGTTCCTCTGATGTGAGAAACTGAAAGTGGGAATTAGGACTGAAATGTATAACAGATATTGGAAATGAGAAGAAAATGTTCAAATGGGAAGGGGAATGATGGAGGAGGGGAAGAGAAAGGAAGGAAAGGCCAAGAAAAAAAGTGAAAATACAAGGAAAAAATAGGAACAAAGTTTTGTACATAGGGAGTGGGAGGGGCTTGAGGAGGTGAGTGGGATGAAATTAAAAAGTAATTCATGCTACTTTTCTGACTCTCCATGGAGTCTAGCTTAGGATATTTTCCTCTTAAGACTGGGAAAATTGTCTTGTAAGACCCCAAAGTACTTCTTTAGTGATTTTCTTTTTATCTTTAAATAGCTAAATGAGCCCTAATTTATCCAATTTATTTATAAACTACCTGTGTCAAATACATGTTTCCAATAGGAAATTTCTCCTACGACCCACAAAGTATTATTGAACAAACTGATCTACATGAAACCTAGAGTCCTGGCTTACTACAGTGCCAAGTCTGCCACTGCTAGGCTGTATGACTTTGGAAGGTCACTTGCTCTGGACTAAGGACTTTTGTTTTTAAACTAACAGAGCTGGGCTAGAATCTAGTTCTAGGTCAATGTCCACATCTAGTTACTTAATAAGTAAACGTTATCTTCTTAGTCAATGTTTCTCAAATTTATCTATTCAATGATTTATATTTGCTGGAAGCAGATTCCCTGGCTTGTTCACTGCCAATCTGACTTCCCTAGCTGAGGAGGGGTTCTCACACTGGGATAGAATCTTGAGAACACTCAAGGTTCTGTGTGCCAGCCCTATTATTTGAATCCCCAGGACATCTGGAACATTAGAAACTTGCTTGTAGTCTTTCTTAACCTACCATGAGCTGAACTTGATCCAGACTTAGAGCAGTAAAGTGGGAGCTGTGTCCTATTTCTCTCTGCAAAAGGCAACTCTCAAGTTTTGGGCAGGTTTAGAGCAAGGGGCTCTTGCACTCACACTGGCGCTAGCCCCAGAGACCATGTTAGAAACTGTGGGAATAGGAGAGGAGGGTGGGAAGTCATGAGAAGGGAGACAAGAAGGTATGCTTGGTCACAAAGAAAGAAAGTCAGGGCCTGCTTGAGCTTCTGTAGTAGCTTGTGATGTACTCAGTGGATGAACTGGGTGTGCTATTACATGTGGTGCTTAACAGGCATACTATGGGCAGCAGAGTGGACCGGCTTATGGCAAGAGAGAAGAAGTGACCTGCAGAGTGGAGTGCAGGAATGGGTTATTTTGATGTGAAACTCCTGATCTAAAACCTAACCTTGTACAGACATCTCGCATTGACCAATCTGGGGAGAAAAGCAGGATTTTAGTGCTCCTGATTACTATTCCTAAATGAATGAATGAACTTAAACTGAGTTTATATTCTTGTATGTATCCTCTATCACATCCAGAGACCTGGGCTACCTGTCAACTCTGCACTATCTCCACCCATTATCTGGAGAACAAAGGTCTTCACAGGTTCTTAGCTGGAGAGTCATAGTCTCTCAGTAAAGCAAGGTGACAAATATAACCATGGTGAATGAGTTTAAGGACCTCAGTTTTCAGCTCATGCTTCCAGGGATTTGGCCTGCACTAGTATCTAATGGAACATATATGCATACTTTGTTTTCCCACATGTTCTGTTATGTAAAATTTTCTGAGAAGAGGAAAGCAAGGAGAACCTTAATACTAGTATGGCAAGGGGACAACTCACTCTTGGATTGTGGCTTCCAAGTCCCGGTCCCAGGTAAAGGAGGCCTCAGAAAACTGCACAGCTTTGTCTATTGAAAAAAAGTTCCCTCTTTTAGTAACATGCCCACATGTCTGCCTGCTCTTCTGCAGCCTTCATACATCAATGGGTCCACCATCAGCTCCTAGGATCACATCTGTTAGTTGCTGTGTTTCATTAACAGGTCGCAAGTGAATGCTCACAGGATGAGACTAGAAATGGTTGTTATATGCAGTTTCTTTTTATTCAGAAGTCCTAAATTTTGTAGCCCAGATTCTTGACCTATAGATGTTGGGTACATCTCCAGGCCCTGTTTCTCTTGTTGTCCCCTTATGTGGGCTCTACTTCCTTATATAAACCTCCCTACTCTCTTGGGACTTGAGATCAATGTAGGACCTAGCGCATGCCAGGCAATTGTTCTACCACTGACACACACACACACACACACACACACACACACACACACACCA